GGGGGGGGGGTGGTTGTGGAAAGCTTTCAGTTGCAGTCAGTGTGATGAATGTGTGGTCAACTTCTTTTACGTGGGGGCCTATATGAGATCGACCGACACCCCCTAGTTACAAACGAAGAATGATGAGTGCATCGCTTCTTACCTAGAGTGAACAGAGAAGTCACTTTTAGCAGGCTTCTACGCAGACCGCCCAAAAGACCGATGGGACCAAGTGGGACGCGGCTGGCGTTGTATTTTACTCGTGCTCATACTCGAACAGGGGAAAGTGGTTGTTTCCATCAAATGCTGACTAACTGGGTTCAAATTTAAATGAAAATCGTTGTGCTTCAAGCTTGACCGCACGCGTTTAAGGTGTTCAGTCTAAAGATAAAATCACTGCATTGTAAATGTCTGTAAAGCTAGTTTTATGATCTGGCTGAAAATTAGTGCTCATTAGGGCCGAGAGGAAGCCACAATCTTTCCCCAAATCGAATGGCAAAAGTGGAAGCGTCCATCGGTGTAATGGACGATAATAGAGAGAGAGAGGCAGAGAATTGGAGGGAGAAGAACTTGGTTCGACGTATAAACTGTATGGATGAAAATGGAATGTTCTGTGTGGATGGAGGCTGGCCATTTATGTTCCCTCTTTGAAACAGCGCATGACTAGACTGAACCTATCAACCAATCAAAATGCAGCGATGCTACAATAGTTTATTTATTTCAAAAGGCAGGCATTTTGATAGTTACAATTAGCTCTTTAGTTGACCTCGGGCTTCACAGAAGGGAGGAACATTAAAGTGAAAAGAATTCGACAGGGGGGAAGAGCAATTCATAGATGTAACAGACAGACAGACACAAAGGCAGAGAAAAGGTAGAATGAGTACTGTGGAAGGGGTCGAATATGACATACAGTGGGGTTATGGAAGTTTGAAGTGAGAAGTCAACTGCCGGTTTATCGACTTTTTTGGCGTATAAAAATACGTTGCGCAGGGTGCACCACGTGGAGGTAAGTCTATCACACACCCCCTGAGTGAAGATAACGATGTGCAAATTTACTAACTGCACACGAAATTTCAAGGTAGCAGAACGTGTTCTTTATGAAGAAAAGAGAAGAAGCAATCAAATCGATTAGCATTGACCAAATATCCTCATTCCATATCTTCTAGTATGTACCCGTGCTTCGTTTCGTTTGATAAGTATTTTATATATCTTTATTAACGAACCGCGAGTACATTGGCTGTGTGTGTGGTTCCGAATCATATTGGGACCTATTAGTTGGGCTGGAAATTCCGCCTATTCGTGCTTTCCCTTCTCTCTTGTCAAGGTGATATATCATTTATCAGACAAAATCGCCTCTCTGGAGATAACTTAGGTGATAAATGACTCCAATTGAAAGTGCTAATATGTTCCCGTTGTCAAACGTTTTTGGTTGTACGGTCTTCATTCCTCTATAAACAAAAATATGTTCCAAACCGTTGAATGAATGCCTTTTTATAAAGGACACCTTCAAAGGAGGGGGGTTGTATGCGGGAGCTACACTATTCCCTATCGATTAGTTTTAAACAATATGGTTGATCTAGCGTGGAGGTTCTGGATTCTGATTTGGCAAATATGCTCCACACCGCTACCCGAGAGTTGTATATTACATAGCTACTTCCTATTTATTAGTATGACAAAATAAATGCCGTAAAATTATAAAAATTAGAGATGGAGAATTGGTCTTGCTTTACCAAAGACAATGCTTTATTATTGAAAAATCAAGGATCATAGAAGACGTGCGTTTTAATTTTAAAGAAGGGTCTAAATCATTAGTAAACACAAACTAAATTGGGAAATAGGAAGATAAAAGAATCAATTCAAGCATTCTAAAATTAAATGGGAATAGTTTCAACATGAAGAAGATGAAGAGCATTAATAGTCATTAATTGATTAGTTAGTAATATTAGGTCATTAGTGGAAGTAAAAGATCCTACATAGAGAAAAAAGAGGAAGAATGACTAGAGGACGGGCTTCTGGATCGTCAGAACGATTCACAATCATCGACACATAATCACAAAGGAAATGAAAGAGAAATTAGAAGTGATTAAGACATTCGTGAAAAAATATAGCAACTTTGAGAATGCCTAGTGACTGATTAAGAGAACAAAGCTACGAAGGGGGGGGGGGGGGGGGGGGGGGGNGGGGTGGGGCGATCGGAAAGAGGGTACGGAAAAGTTACAGTGGATGTGTGCTCAAAGGTCAGACAAGGTAATTGACGAAGGGTTGCGAGCGCATACAGACGATGCACTTTCCGACAGAATCTTGACTCTGGCGCACCTTGATGACCTGACCCATCACCATTCCGAACATGTGGTCATCCATAGAGCTGGGCATCACACGAAGCCAGAAGTTCTTATGCTCCTCAAAGAAGCCACAGAGGCCCTTTGCAGTGCATTCAATGAACATGTGGGAACGGAAGATTGGGAGACAGCTACCTGATGAGGCTAATTGTTGTCCACCGCCCTGTGCACCGTATCCCGTGTTCTACAAAAAAGGTTACCTCCATGTCAACATCTGTGCAACTATAGTCAAGATTATTTTCTTCCAAAGAAGCCTCACCATGAGGAAGCTGCTTCCGACCCACATATCTTGCCATCCCATCGGGCACTTTGGAATCTCCAGAGTTTGTGAGTGGAAGGCATAGAGCTGTAATATATACAAAAGTGTTACCCTATTATATTCGAGAAGATACCAGGTAGCACATTTTTCTTGCAATGAAGATGCGAAGTTTTTTGGAGAATAGGGATATTCATAGGATTCCTACTCATTCATCAATAGCTAATTTGAACAAAAGTTTGTCCCAAGGATACAATACAAAGATGGATGCACCTCTTTCAATAATACAACATTGGGAACCAGATGTGGCCAGGAAGTCTTTGTCCTCCAAAATGTTCCGTAAGATTAGCTTGAGATTAATATTCAAGGAAAGTGGATGGAAACTGTAGAAGTTCGATTTCAAGCGCAATGATTTGAGTTTTCTTAACTTCAGTGAGGATATAACTTGTTTGATTTCAATATTTTAATAGAAATGGTGCCACCGCAGTATTCACAGTTACAATTCCAGAACGTATAAACAAGCAAATAAGCCCTTTTTGAGCAAGAAATGATCTACCTTTGTATATTGAATGAAGACTACGTGACTTTGAACAAGTCTTTATGAATCAGATCCAAGTCACTTGGTTGAATCTTCACCAGACACATAATTGACTTACAGTACTGGGCGCCTCACAAACAACACATCGGCTGATGTGTCGCTGAGATTCGTTGACAGAGACAGGATTCCACATCATTGGTTCATCTTCAGTGCTCAACCAATACGACCTATCATTCCGTTGAGCAAAGTAGCAATTCTCCTGTTTTTCACAGAACATGAAAGGAATTGGGTTGAACATCTGAAGGCAAGAGCCCGGACTAGCCAGATCATTCGTGTGAGGTCGCTCTGATCCCGACATACTCAGGAAAGAGTAACCTTCCCAGAGTTTACGAGTAGATGTTGGACATTCTGGAATACGCATAGTTTGACTGTGTCTAAAGAAGAAATGAACATGCATGGTTTACATTTTCTTAATGAGAATACTGATAAAACTAAAAGGAATCATACTTAGCAAAGAGAAATCCAGTATTTCCACGAGTATCACCAATGCGACCAGGAAGACCAGGCTCACCTTGGGGACCCTGGTCACCTTTAGGTCCTGTAGGTCCACGAGGTCCTTGCAAACCAGGAAGACCTTCAGGGCCTTTCGGACCCATTGGAGCTGGTTCACCCTTCTCTCCCGGTTCACCAGTGACTCCAATTTTACCGGGAAGGCCTTGAGGACCACGAGGACCTTTCGGACCTGTTGGGCCATCGGGACCAGGTTGACCCTTTTGACCCTTTTCCCCTGATAGTCTGTCTCCAGGTTCACCCTTTGGACCTGGATAACCCATTTGGCCTCGATCACCCTTGATTCCAGGGAAGCCTTTCTCACCTTTGTAGCCCTGAGGACCCGGAGGTCCATCACGACCATCTGGGCCGGGTCTTCCGTCGATTCCTGGGGGTCCACGATTTCCGGGCTTTCCAGGATATCCACGTTCACCCTGAATATATTAGTCATATTTATAAGATCAAAGTAGGCATATGAAGGGGGCGTAATTAGAGATCTAACCTTGGGACCTTGTCGACCATCAGATCCAGGTAAACCTGGTTGTCCCTTGGGACCTTTCAAACCGGGAGGTCCATCAGGACCGGGTTCTCCAGGTTGTGGGAAGGACGTACCTTTAGGACCTTTAGGTCCACGAGGTCCTTGTGAACCTGGTCTGCCACTGGGACCACGTTCACCTTTAACACCTTTGGCTCCCATAAGGTCAGGTCCAGGATCACCTGGTTCACCTGGACGTCCACGAGCTCCCGGAAGACCCGTCATACCCTTGATACCCGGAGGACCCATTGGACCAGGCTCTCCAGGTTCTCCTTTAGGTCCAGGAAGACCTTCCATTGAGTCACCTGGTTCTCCTTCTTGTCCACGTTCACCCTTGGGACCCTGAGGTCCATCAGGTCCTCTTGGTCCACGAGGTCCATTTGGTCCGCGTTGACCAGGAAGTCCATTAATTCCTCTTGGACCCTCAGGTCCACGGGCACCCTTTCTACCAGGTTGGCCTGGTCGACCCTTTGGTCCTTGAACACCAGAAATACCTGGAAGACCAACTGGACCAGGTTCACCCTTTAGACCTTGAGGACCTGGGGGACCTCTTTCTCCGGGAGGACCAACGGGTCCACGTTCACCCTTTTGACCCTGTTCAGGTTCCCCAATTTGAACTCCCGATCGACCCTTCGGTCCCTTTCGACCCTAAAAGAGAAAAGAATGATATGACAAATAAGAAAAACTGAAAATTAAGATGAGGATTTGATATGAACGGACAGCAGGACCAGGAAGGCCAGATCGACCAGGAGGTCCTTCATCACCAACAGGTCCAATAGGACCTCGTGGTCCAGGACGACCGCCAGAACCAGGTGGACCTTGTTTACCCTTCGGTCCACGCTCGCCCTTAGGCCCTGGTGGGCCTTGAATTCCTTTCCTGGCTGGAGGCTTGTCTATTCCAGGGGGCCCTTGAGGACCTTGCTCACCCTTTGGACCTCTGGGTCCAGGGGGGCCTTGAATTGATTGACCAGGGGGACCCGGCAAACCCTTAGGTCCAGTGATACCATCATGACCTGGATCACCAGGCATGCCCATTCGACCTTGAGATTAATAAGTAAAAAGATGGTAGATAATGTGAATATCAATTGAAAAATGACAAATAAGAAAGTTGGGACTACCTGGTTGACCCTTTTCTCCCTTCGTACCAGGAGCTCCAGAGCCCGGGGGTCCAGGGTCACCTTTCTCTCCAGGATAACCCTTATGTCCTGGGTCACCCTTTGGACCAGGTGGACCAGCAGGTCCAGCTGGACCCTGGTTACCTTCAGGACCGGGTTCTCCGGGAAGTCCCATGACACCTTTGGGACCTTGACGACCAGGAGGTCCTTCTGAACCCTGTTCACCAGGATCACCCATTTCTCCTGGAGGACCATCAGGACCACGAGGTCCCATCGGACCAGGTTTACCTTTTTGGCCTGGGGGTCCAGTTAATCCTCGAGGACCTACTTCACCACGTTGACCCTTGACACCCTTCTCACCCTTCATGCCAACGCTGACAAAGTCATCTCGTCCTCTGTCTCCCTTTGGACCTCTCAAACCGGGCAGACCTGGAAGACCACGGGGTCCCTTGGGGCCCTTTGGACCGACAAGAACTTCTCCAGGTTCTCCAATCTCTCCTTTCAAGCCCTTAGGACCAGTTGGCCCCGGGCGGCCAGCCACACCAGCCAAACCCTTCGGTCCCTTCAAGCCAGGTGGTCCTTGAAGACCAGGTGCTCCAGGTTCACCTTTTTGACCTTTTTCTCCTGGGTCACCACGTGGACCCAAAAGACCAGGATCCGAGCCACCATCTGGACCGGGAGGGCCAGTGTCACCACGTTCTCCCTCGGGACCTCTTTGGCCTTTCGGACCCATTGGACCCTGAGGACCTGGACGACCATCCTGACCACGAGATCCAGGTAAGCCTGGCTGACCTTTCGGTCCACGGCGACCCTTCTCACCAGTGGGGCCTACTGGACCCGGACCGCCCGGATAGCCTTTCTTTCCGTCCTTTCCATCTGTTCCTCTAAGACCCTTTTCACCAGGGGCGCCTATATTTTGAACCAAAATCGTAAGGTTTGACTGTCATACATTCAAAACATTTCATGTTTTTTTTGCATACCCTTTGCACCAGGGAAACCAGGCACACCGGCTTCACCTTTTTCACCCTTAGGACCGGGTTCACCCTTGACATAACTGAAGATTTGTTCAATGACTTGATCGACACCACGTTCACCCTTCTGGCCTTTGGGACCAGGAAGACCATCACGACCTGGTGGACCAGGTTCGCCTTTCTGAGGAAGAATAACGCGGCCATCAGGACCAGGATCACCAGGGGGACCTTGGATGCCCTGGGGTCCGCTGAAGCCAGGCAGACCTTTGGGACCGCGTTCGCCCTTTTGACCAGCTTGTCCACGTGGACCGCGTTGGCCAGGAAAACCTTTGGGTCCTGTAGGACCGCGAGGACCAGGTCTACCGAGAGGTCCATCCGCACCACGTGGAGCATCGGCAACCGTCTGATTGATAAATTCGATTCGACCAGGTTCACCTGGAAGACCTCGTTCACCCAATGGACCAGGCTCTCCCTTTGCACCCTAGATAAAGATTTCATGCATAATGAGTAGTGGTGTCCAAAATACCAGATTTGTTTCAATACTTTTTGCTTAAAATATTATGTAGTTTACACTGATAAATGATTTTGGAAGATATCAAGCTTGGTCACGCCCAGTAAGCATATCCATCCAGATGCATCTTTTCAAACTGCTCTGAGAAAATATTTCTGGTAAAGCTTGATTCGAAACCTCAGTGGATCGATTCAGATCACCAAATAAAGTTGTTTCCCTTCTTTTACCCCTTTTCTTCACACACACAAATATCGTTTGTGAATGTTGGCATATATTAGGATTGAAAACTTTCACTGACTAACTTGAAAGGTGGCATTCAATTACCTTTCTGCCGGGTGGACCCATGGGACCATCAGGGCCTTGAAAACCAGGAAGACCCTTTGCTCCAGGAGCCCCATCCAAACCATCGGGTCCAGGACGACCGGGACGACCAGGTAAGCCTTTTGGTCCTGATGGACCGGGTAGACCATCAGGGCAGTAAGCACAGTCACCTTGTGGACCAATAGGTCCCCTAGGTCCAGGACGTCCACGAATACCTGGAATACCTGGCATACCTTTGACACCAGGTGGACCTTTAACGCCGTCGATACTGGGTCCGATTTCTCCAGGGTCACCAGGAGGACCTTCTAGACCTTCAGGACCACGTTCACCTAAAATAACACCTCCCATTAGAGTCTGCTCGTTACAGAATGAAAAGTTAGATATTAATGGCTTACCCGATGGACCTTCGTTGCCAGGGACACCAGGAAGACCTTTTTCACCCTTTGGACCAACTAGATTTTGTCCAGGCATACCCTTTGGACCTTTAAGACCGGGGAAACCAGGAGGACCAGTCTTACCACGTTTTCCATCAACACCAGGGAGACCACGTTCACCTTTAGGTCCAGGTTCTCCAGGAATAAGGGTGCCGTAAGAGGGACCTGGCTCACCTTTTGGACCGGGTTCACCAGGGTCACCACGTTCACCTTCCATACCCTTTTCTCCCATTGGACCTTCATCACCAGGTGGACCAGGGAGACCTGGATCACCACGTTCACCATCTGGTCCGGGCAATGTACCTTCGGATGTGATTGTGTCACCTTTTGGTCCCTATTTAACACGTAAAGTCAGATTTCTGAAATTTCACTACTGATATTCACGTATGTAAATATTTGAATCTGACGTACTCGTTCTCCCTTGGGTCCAGTTCTACCGGGGTAACCTTTCTCACCCTTGACACCGCGTGGACCTTCAGGACCTGGAGGACCCTCCATTCCATCAATACCGGGACGACCAGGGGTTCCAGAAACGCCAGGCGGTCCAGTTTTACCCTTCTTACCCTACATCGGAAATAAATATTTAGAGTGCCTTTAGGGGTTGATTAGTAATTGAAGTGTTGAAGTGATGGAACATACGGGAGGGCCAGGGTCACCTTGAGGTCCTGGAGGACCACTAAGACCAGCAAAACCAGGAAGGCCCTAAAGATCAAAGATGGTATCGCAAAAATTTTCAGACATTTCTCAATCCACGTTACCACTTTAAATTCAATCTTAATAAAAAATGCGTTTTCCATTGTAGATTTGCAAATTTTAATAAGTTCTTCGAGACAAGTGACTGCAAAAATCTAAATATTTCATTCCATTTACTTACACGTTCACCTTTATGACCTTTATCTCCTGGAGGTCCTCTCTCACCAGGGACACCTTTGTAACCCTTAGGGCCGACTCTGAAAAGAAAGGGGTAGGTATAAAATAGGTACTTAATAGGATTTCTGTTCTGCACTACAAAAAAACGTTTACTGGATGCCTTTAAGTTCTGACGGTTTCTCATAAGAGGCGCCCTTGTAACCTTTCTCACCCTTTTCACCTCTTTGTGCCTATAAGGTAAACCAAAGATAAATTAGGGGTTGCAAGCAGAATTCAGGGGAAAAGTCACGGAGAACGAAGATTACGTATTGGATTGAAGGAAGCGGAGTTTTGCCCTTTGGACCTTTAGGACCTACGTCGCCATGGTCACCAGCTGGACCCTACAGTTAAAACTCCGCGTCAATAAAAATTAATAAGGTGGGGGCTTGGTTAGGAAAAGATGCTTACTCTAAAACCTTTAGGGCCTTGGACACCAGGACGACCTCGTTCACCGTCGGGACCACGCTGTCCTGGAGGTCCTTGAGGACCACGTGAACCTTTTGGGCCAGAAGGGCCTTGAACCTCCACACCATCTCCGACAATAGTATCACCCTTTTCACCCTAGTAAAAAAGATTCGCTGTCATTGTTGTAGTTGCTTTCAATAAGATTCAAGCGTCATTTCTCAAATAGAAGCAAACCTTTATACCCTTGGGTCCTTTAGGTCCTTGAAGACCATCATAACCATCGATTCCAGGAGTACCAGGAAATCCAGCTGGACCCTGAAATAGAATAATTTTGGTTATTTGCCCCCGGATCCACATGTTCGATCATGTCCAGTGAGGAACCCACCTTACTACCACAGCATCCGGGATCACCAGGGAAACCTTTCGGTCCTTTTATACCTGGCATGCCCTTCAGACCATCAGTTCCGGGCATACCTGGTTGACCTTTGTCTCCCTAAAATATGACAGCAGATGAAATTCGTCAGAGAGAATGTTCACAACAGAAAGTTAAATCAAAGAAATTCAACACACCATGATACCCTTGCGACCGGGTTCACCAGGATAGCCGGGAAGACCCTGCTCACCCATCGGACCAGGTGGACCCCTTGAGCCGCGGGGGCCAATTGATCCAGGCAGACCCATATGGCCAGTGGGTCCAGGTTCACCCTGTGGTTGGGAAAATTCTTTTTGAGTATATTATCAATAATTGCTATCTTAAGCACTACTTATTAATAAAAAGTAACACTGATTTTTGTACCAATATGGCAATGTGTGGAGTTTACAATCCTGTCCACACTATTTGGGTTAGATACTCCACTCTATCCGATTAAGCTTATCTACTTGTGCAACCTTTATACATGATAATACTAACCGGAGATTTACCTCCAACTTTTCCCTTAAAATCTTCAGGATATTTGAGAAATTAATTTGTTGATATTTTGCGCTGATTTTACTGAAAGGAAATTTGAATTCTCTCTTCCTCTCTCCCCCCCCCCCCCTCCCCCATAGGTACACATTTACAAATCACCTCTTAGGTGTCTGTTCCAAAGAGATTTCACGAATTCAATTACTAAATGGTTGTTCCAGCCTCATCTTCAAGGTAAAACTGTGTATTATTCGTTAGCTGGTATCGAAAAAATTCGACAAAAAAAACACTTAATTATGCCAAAACGTCTCCCTCTATGCATTCAAATGCTAACAGCAGATTATTTGTCTCATGCCATTTTTCACAAAAGCTTAATTTTATCAAAAAATTACCTACCACATTCGTGGAGAATTATTTTTATATTAAAGAATACTTTTGAAGTTGACCTCTGTTTTAGAGTAAAAATAAAAATAATGTGAGTATTTTTATTTAATTGGCAAAATTATAATTTTAGACGTACTTGAGGTCCTTGAGTACCTTCACAGGAACATTCATCGCAGGGCGCAAAGGGACATGCCTAAATCAGTAAAATATAAAAAAAATATATATATATAAAAATGAATGGGCTTATACGCGGTTGTTTAGGACAGGGAATTATCAAGGGGATGTGAACAAAAGGAGACTTGCCACAGCTGCTTGTGAAGGTTGAAGCAAAAGAGAAAGACCGAGTAGGAAAGCTAATAGATAGGGGGAAGTCCGGGAGACCCTAATTTGGGAGTACTCGAGCTGTCTGTGGCGTGTCATGCTCGTGGGTCTACTTGGATGGCCCACTTCCTTTCTCCACAGACAAGCTTCCTGGAAGAGTGTGTATGTATAGATCCTAGTTGTCTGCACAACACAGCAAAACGATGCCTACAACCTATTTGCTTGCCCACTATCTGGTCAATTTCCCGCGTGAACCCTATTCCTATCGATTTTGCACATCGGTTGGTTGCACGCACGTCAGTAGCCAATTGGAGTCAATAGAGGGGAGGGGGGTGGACAACGCAACGAATTGCGCGCGTGGAATGCCTATAAGGTGTGGAGTGTGACCCAGTGTGTGTCTGTCCCACTACCACCTCACCCCGCTCTCACGATGACGAACAAGTCTTGATGCCTTGTCGTCATTTGTCATTAATTTTTCAGAGCTAGAGGAAGTGAACCGATGTGGGTCACTAGGTTATTTTTACGTCTTACCTCTCTAATTAGTTTTGGCATGGGCAAACATGTTGTTAACCTGATTACTTGGCCATTTTTTTCAAAAAGGGCAATATTTTAATTTGCTAAATTAAGCTAAAATCTCGTTTCTCCTAGAAATCTAAATATTTGCCTATTTGGTAGAGTTCAATTTGCCAGTTATCTGGCTATAATCTAGTTAGTATTGTTAATTAAGCAGTTTTCATTAACCAGCAATAATAATAAATTACAGCGGATTGATTATTGGTTCAATCTTAACAATTGAATTACTTTCCTTAAACCACTAATAAAACAATTGTTCTCTCAACAATCATTTAAGGGGGGGGCCCTAATTGATCATTTTTAAAATAGTTTCTACCGCGTTTTAAAAGGAAATAATTTTGAAGAGTGAATAATGTAACACTATGGCAGTTATATTGTCATTCCCTTCGTTGGAAGGGGATATTAACTCTGCTCTGTTTTAACTGCCACACATAGAGAGGTGCTATGACCTTTAAAAAAATAGTTAAAAGCAATTAATGAAAGGTTAGAAACCAAAGTAAAGAAATAGGGAGGTGCTTTTGAAAAATTTGTTAAATTAATTTGTTTCACAATGACAGGTGATTTAAAATCGACAGTGGCATTAATGATCTCTGAATTTGCTAATAGTTTTTTCTGGGATAAAAAGATGTAGTCATTCATCTGGGCTTTCCATTTGCAAAAAAAGAATGCACACAAATGAACTTTGATTTTGGGATGGTATTCAGAAACAAAGGCGTGTCAAAGATAAGTAAGTAACGGACGAAATCAAGACGCAACCTTACTTCACTTCTGGAACCATTGGTTCGCCCCCTTTTTACTCATTACAAAGATGGTTAGCCTTGAGATAGACAATTGTCACAAGAATAACTTTTATTGGTTTGATTCGTGGTTACTTTAGGTGGCTATTTTGTAAGCGATATTCAGAGCTCCAACAGTAACGTGTTGAAATAACACACTTAAGCGTACATGAGGGAAAGCTAGCATTCTGACGATTTTGTAGATAGTCTAAATGAGAAGAACAGCATTACCCCATTCCTCTATTTCATCCTCACCTTCTCCAAATTGATCTCAAACGGGCCAGTAGACTGACAATCAGAACATGGGGTAGGTCTCACTTTAGTTCCACTCTGACTTTGGACAAAGGGTCCGTGAATACAGGAATTTAAAGTCTACCTCCTCGTCGACTCTCAACTTCAATTTTAACGCGAAATTTTGAATTTCAATTTAATAGGTTTCCTCATGGTGGGGAAGAAAGAAATGTGGTTTGAGTTGTCATGGGAAATAGCAATAAACAGTAGTACATTAAAAGATTAATTTATGTCACAGAGTCTTCAACTTAACTGAAACGTCAAGTATTACTTTCAATAATTTTCTGTTCTTTGAATTAATTTTTAAGTCCAGGTGCTATAAATATCTTGTTAACTCGAAGCCTTCAGTCTCGGTGGTGAAGAAAGTGCCAAGTTTAAAGAGAATTCGTATTTGTGCGATACACTTACCTCCACGTGGTGCACCCTGGGCAACGTATATTCATACTGCAAAAAGTTAATTAACCGGCAGTTGACTTCTCACTTCAAACTACCATGACCCCACTATAAGTCATATTTCACCACTTACACAATACTCATCTTACCTTTTCTCTGCTTTTGTGTCTGTCTAGCTCTTTTACATCTTTGAATCCCTCCTCTGTCTCCCCTCTCGAATTTTTCTCACTTTGATATTTCTCCTCTCTCTGTGAAGCCTGAAGTCAGCTACAGGGCTAATGGTAACAATCGTAAAGCCTGCCATTTGAAATAAATAAAAATTTTGTGTACAAAAATTAGCTCTGTGACCTACGATTCACGTCCGAGATTAGATATCACCCTCTGCTTATGCTCTTCTTTTTCAAAGTGCGGACGTGATCTTACCTCTCACTAATCTACTGATTAATGCCAATGAGGTCAGTTTGAATCAGATTATCTGCCTGACTAAAAAGTGATTGGTAAGACCTTCATGTGTTCACAGGTCGTTTGGTCATCAAGTTATGAAATGTACCACATTCCATGTCTTCTTACTTGTCGAAGAGAAAATGTCCCCAGAGGGTTTTCTTGCAACAGAAAAAGATGCCAAAGAAATGGAAACGAGAACATTAGCACAGAAAGATGAAGCATATCCCAGTGAGGGACACCTCGCAACGGGAAAAGCAATTTAGAGGTGACGAAAAGGAGCAGTGGAAGTGGGAGTCGCTTGCTCGTAAGAACCTCATTTAATTCAAGAGTGTTCGAGAAATTACTAAGTTTTCTGTCCCGAACGATTAAACCGTTACGTGCACCATTGAACTATGATTAATGGCATTTTAAGCGGGGTAAAACATTTAAATTTCTCAGGTAATACATTGTTTTTACATTTAGTCGCCTCCACTAACTCCAGAGCATCCGACTAGTTTTTTGTCATCTAAAAATTAAGCTGAAAGAGAAAGAGTGAATTCTTCTACAAGGGGAATTACAAGAAAAAACAGCGTTGCCGATGACCCTCCTAATCATTCTAACATTTATTTACGTCAAATGGCAGGCGTTTTAATAGTTTAGTTGACTTCGGGCTTCACAGAGAGGAAGGAACATCAAAGTGAAAAAAAAGTCGGGAGGTGAGAGGAGGAACAGAAGAGTGTTTCAACGGTGCAAAAGAGACAGACACAAAGGTGGAAAAAAGGTGAGGAAGTAGTCGAATATGACATACAGTGGGGTCATGGTAGTTTGAAGTGAGAAGTCAGCTGCCCATTAATTGACTTTTTTGCCGTATGAGCATACGTTGCCCAGTGTGCACCACATGGAGGTAAGTCTATCGCACACCCCAATCATATTAGCATAAAATAATTTATATGTAATGGCTTCACTGTTTCGTAGTATGCACATTTTGGGTAGTATATACGTTAAATATAGGCTTTCATTGACTGCTCATCGAATTAATGCAAGAAAGTTATCAAAACTCAGCTTATCTCAATCCAAGCCCATCTCTACCCTTGTTCCACGCTCTATTTCTTCGCCCCTACCATTTCTTCAACAGAGTTGGAAAAGCTGCTGTTTCAAGTTGACCCCTTTTGGGAGATCTTTGAATTTTGGTGGTCCTTTCGACCGTCGAGATTAATTTATTTAGATACGTTATTTGAAGATCCACTTTCTTCCCCATTCAAAAGTACCTGGAAGAGGAGATGCCTTTAAATCCCCCCCCCTCCCCCTAATGAATGATAAGGGGAAATAGAATTGTCAAAAGGTTGGATTTTAAAGAATGAATTGAAGGTGAATTTTGACAGAAGAAATGACGAATGACGAGTGAATGCTCTTGCGCACAGGGTTCCCAGCAAATCTTTTTCCAATGCATTCTTTCGTCATTGATTTTAATTTAAAAACTTCAAAACATTTCACTACACTCTACTATCTGATTAACTACCCATTTTAAAAAAGGACATTTGATTGAAAATATCAGTAATTAGCATAATGCGTTCAAAAGCGATTACTTTTAAATAGTAAATGCTACCGATCGATGGCGTTGGTTAATTCGAGTGAATAGCGTATTTTGGATGTCTGAACAAAACTGACAAGAATTTCGTCCTTTTTAGTGAAACCGAGAGAGGCCTTCAATTTATTTAAAGTCCCCCCCCCCACTTTCACGTATCAACAATTTACTCCAGTAATCAACACCGAGTAAATGAGCGCCTACTTCTTGCACGAGCACACCTAACATTAAATTGGCGGAGGAGGGGGGGGGGATAGGGAGAGGGGGAGG